CTGGGACCCAGTCTTTTTAACAATGGACACTATTCATGAAAGTGTTACACACACACACACACACACACACACACACACACATATATACACACACACACATATATATACACAAACACACATACATACACATACACAAATATATATATATACACATATATACAATCTCATGGAAAACACACAGTGAGGCAGCTGTGACATGGCTTGTGCAGAATCCCATGGTCCAGAACAGCCCCTCTGCGCCCCATCCCCGTGGTTGTGATGGAGGTAGCCATATTACAACATGGCGGGACACCAGCAATAGCCTATCAGAGCATGTTGGAATCTGACCAATGAGTCCTTTTCAGGAGCATGTTTGATTTGGGCTCGAGAGAGCCAAATCCATCTCCAAATCCATCTCTCCTTAGGTGTCTGAACTCAAACACATAAGGCTTGGGAAACCATCACGTCTTCTGTTAGGTGGACCAAGACGGGGAGACAGAGTTTGGAAGAATCCAGAATCAACAGCAATGAAAGGCCGATTCACGCACATCCCAGGCCCTGCTGCCAGTGGCAGAGTTGGTAGCATCCTGTATCTTGTGTCATGAGGAATCTCAGAATCCTTATGGTAAATACCACTTAAACCACATTAATATTCTTTGGAACACAAAGAGTTTCAGTTTATAGATGAGGAAACTGAGCAGAAGCAGCAAAGATTCACATCTAAGTTTTTCTGACTCAAAGCTAAGCTTTCATCATCACAATATACTTACCGCCTCCAGGATTTTCTGCCCACCTTCTAAACTGAGGCTCCCTCCTGAAGGAAGGAGAGGCAATTTGCACCCAACTCTTAGGGTAAGGTTGAAAACTCTCTTGGTACAGACACGACTCAAGCAGCCAGCAGCTCATTGACCCTCTCTGATGACCAGGTTTTCACTGTCAAATGAGCAGAGTGGGTTGCCCTCAACCAGCTGCTTCCCGTGGAGGGAGGTCTGTGTGTTGTTAATGGTGGGGTGAAGGTCAGGACTCACGAGGAATCTCTTCAACTACTTCCATCAAAACTGCTTTTGTTCTCAGCTACGCTGGGACTGGATTTTTGTTTCATAGTACAAAACACAGCCGGTAGCAGCCAGGATATCTGAACCACACAAGAAATATCAAAATGGGAATCCCACAGTGAGGTAGATAAGGATAGGAATGCTCAGCTTTAGCCACACCGTGTCTGATGCTGTAGAAAAAGGCAGAGGAAGAGAACACCCATAGGTTGTCTCTAACCATCGGCGTTACCCCACCCCCACTGATCTCCCTCCCCATTCGCTCGGCAAGATCCTCTAGGACGCTGCCTCCACAGTGCGCACCGGGCTCCAGGGAAGCAGGTTCCTCTGCAGTCTTACTTCACAACCAGATGAGACTCTTAGAATAGACATTTCATCCAAAGCTGTCTTGAAAGGAAACCGGTTTCTTCCCACCGGCAAGTAAATGTTCTGGCTCTAAGCCAATCTCCCGTGCTGTTTCGTTCGCCTCACATCTTGGTTTTCCTTCCCTGCCCTGAGATAGGCCCTACGGTATTCCTTCAGGACCCAAGCCTATTAAACAGCAAAAACGAAATATGCAAATTATCTCCCAACTACAGGCATGGAGCCTGCGAACGCTGTTCTTAGGAAAGTGCTGATTATGGCAATTTATGAATTAACGTGTCAGGCACTGAGGTTTGAAACCTTATAACAGTGTTTACTGTATAAGAGCCCCCAAATGAATTGAAAAATAGAAGGGGAAAAGCAGCAAAATTGGTGATGTGGTGATGCTAAGCTTGCCAGTATCCAATTTCTGCCAGGCTGACTCTGCCAATCCCACCAGGCTCTGCACAGACACGCACAGGTGTGCGTATGCAGACTCACATACATGCACACAAGAAGGCAGAGAACAGACACAAAAGAGAAACAACCTAAGAAGTCGATCCTTCTGGTCTATGCTGATTTCATCACAAGTTCACTGATTCAAATGATCCTTTTTTAGCCTCTCCGCTAGTATTTACGGGGCTCCCACCTGAGTCAGGCACCAGTAGGCACTGCAGGTGCAACAGCAAGAAAGACAGGTGTGACCCCTCTCTCTGAGTCCACCTGCCCTCCCCCGGCAGCTCTGAGCGGGGCCCTGACAAGCAGCCTCCACGAGCTTGTTAGAAATGCATGTTCTCAGGCCCCACCCCACACTTCTTCAGTCATTTGATGTTCTTGGGAAGAATAAATTGCTTGCTCCTGAGACTGAGAGGCATTTTTCGTGTCTTATTTCATGGGACATCTGCTCTGAAACTGATGCCTCGTCTGGCGCCTGCTGCACGCACTCCTTCCCTTGGCCTCCGGTCATCCAGCACACCCGTTCTCTGCTTGTAGGGACCACCTTGGGACTCATGATCTCATTCCTCTCCACATTCCTTTCATTCTGGAGCTTCTCTGACCGAGGAGTCCTCTTGGGATTCTCAGACCCTTCACACTCCTCGAGTGATGATGGCTTCGCCTTCAGTTACACCCACAAGTGGCCCTCACTCCATTGCTTCTGCATTTCTTCCTCTTCCTGGAAGACTCTGCTCTGCTATTCCCATAAAAGCTCACTTCTTCGCTTCATCCGGGCGTCTGCTAGGCTGCCCCCCACGTACCCCTCCGGGCACCTCCTGCGTGTACTCCGCAGCCTTGTTCACCACCTGGAATACTACATTGCGCTCTTCACTCGCTGTGTTTGCCCTTCGGTGGTTGGCGCCTTTCTCAGATGGCTCCCAAGATTCCCACCACCAGGTGTGCACACACCTGTGTGATCCCCTCCCACCTTGGGACTGCAACCTCTGACTGCAAGGGGATGGGTGGTTACTCCTTGACCGGGTTATGTCACATGACAGAGGGGGTGGGACAGCCACCCCTCACCAAAAACAGATTCCCCTGCAGGCTCTGAAGAGGCGAGTACCATGTTGTGAGACCACCCACCACGTGTCAGGGACTTAGGACAACAGCCAGCAAGACAAAGGGGACTAAGAGGACCAACAGCTGGAACAGTAAGCAAGTTCTCCCCACAACCTGCATGATCCTGGAGGAGGACCGCAAGCCCCAGATGAGAGCCAGTCCAGCCGACACCTCGCTTCCAGCCTGTGAGGCCCTGAGCAGAGAACCCAGCCAGCGGGCATCCAGCCGACTGGCCCACGGACACCGTAGACAGTAAGTGCATTTTGCATCGAGAAGCTAAGATTTGGTAACTTGTGACACAGCGTTAGATACACCTTCCCCTGGGACGACGGCCCCGTGAGGGCAGGGAGCCCGCCCGCTTTGTTCACTGCCGCAGCCTGAGCACCAGCAGAAGTGCGCCGCGCGGAGCTGGGACTCTGAAGTGCAGACGGGCTCCCCGACCCCACAGACACTTGCAAATCACGGCCCAGCTTCACAGAGCCTGGGAGTCCAGAGGCCGCCCCAGGATTTCTGAAAATTCCATCCTTCCGCCTTCCTCCTTCTCTCTGGCCCTCCTGCTCTGCTGCCTTAGTTGGGCAGCAAACAATCTGAGTGTGACGCAGGCCCCATGCTGAGTGTTTCCTCCAAATCCCGGGAGAACCAGCGCTCAGATACGGATAACCCGGGGCAGCCACTTCTGTGATGATGCCGGGAGACTGAGGGCGCTGCCTTCTCCACGTGGAGCAGGGCACGCTGCCCACAGCCACCTGCCCCCAGTTCTAAGCGTGGAACCCACGGAGGCCCATCAAGGAATTCTTTCTAAATAAACCCAGTGCCTTTCTTAGGAGCCTTATGGGAACAGCTGTTAATAAAGTGACATTTTCTACATCATTTAATCTGTGCTAATAAATTCTTCTTCAGACCTCTCTACTGGGCTTCACGTGCATTTATCCATCGCCTGCTGGGTACCTACGCTTGGAGGTCTCGCAGGCACCGCAAATTCAGTGCATCCGCAAATGGAACTAACCCTTTCCTTCCCGAAACACTCTTCTCCAGGGCTGCATGTTTCATCACATGGCACCTCCACTCAGTTGCCCAAGCCGAAAACCTCGGAACTGCTTCTGAACTTCCTCCCCCCACCAACTCTGATCAGTTATGCAGTCAGTCAGTTCATGGAGTCACACGGATTTCTTCTCCCTTGGAAATGCCTCTCGGCTCCGGCCGCTTGGCTCCAACCTCACCATCCATGGCCAGGCCATCACCCTCTCAGTCCTGCTTCAGAAAGCATCCCCTAGGCTTCTCCATCCATCTGCCTCCTACAGTTCACTTTCCAGAGTGCAGCCAAACCTGTCTTCTACTGCAAATGCGACCACACCCCTCTGTGCCCATGCCCTTCAGGGGGGCCCCATGGTCCTCCCTGCACAGGGCTCCCCACGCTTACCCAACCCCTCCCTTTTCCTTCATCCTCGCCTTCACCAGACTCCCCTCTGACTTCACACCAGCACTCTGTTGTGCTCTTAATGCCTCAAAAACTCACTGTTCTTTTCACTCCCTGTGGCCTCGGCACGTAAGTCTACTGGAAGGTTCCTTCCTCCTCTTCTGCGCCTGGCTGACTTCTCCCCACCCCTCAGGTCTCTTCCGAAAGGAGTCTTAGTGACTGCACGTGAGTTTCGTAAAGTCCCTAACCATGCCAATCCCTTCTGAACCACTTAGATGAAGACCCCACCACCACTAGCCTCACTAAATATCTCAATAAACGGAAAAAGGTGTAGAAATCAGTAAGAAAATATTCCAAAGCAACAGGGGGAAAATCACCCTTGAGAGAACACTGTTTGGCTGTGGTAGTGTGTGTTTTTATGGTTAATTTTGGCTGTTTTAGGCATGTGCTAATTGGAGAGGCTGCTGCAAACACGGGGGGAGGGGTGATGATATGTATTTCTTGAGAATGAGTGTTATTCTGAGATTTCAGAAAATGCAAGCCTGTCACACCTTTGAAATTATAGAGAAAGCCAGACATGTGAAGCAAGCCATTTTTTTGTGTGACTCCTAATGCCTGTGTGCATAATTCCAAATCAAACATATTCACATTATTAACTTTTTAAAGTTTATTAGTCTCAGAGCTAATGAACTCATTCATCCTTGGCAAAGGCACATGGCTCCCTAATGAAACGTCAGCAGATAGACGGGCAGTGAAGTGAGCACGTCCAATGGCTGATGCCAAACTCCGCTTGGCGGTGATGACTGGGAAGACGCGATCACTTCCAAAGAGACACCTGGACGCAGCGTCATCTGAAGGAACAGCAGCCGCGTGGACGTCTGCAGACTGGGACCCTGCACCTGGCTCTGCCACGTGGCGGCCGAGCGACCTTGAGCGAGTCCTCTGCAAGAGGAGCATCGAGCTCACCGGAATGTTCTTTCTAGGTTGTAGTCAGTGCTCCTCCCGCCCGCCCACCGCAGCCCCCCTCTAAGGGTCCTCCGCGCCTGCGTACACTGCAAGGCGCTGCACCTTATACTCAGACGTCCGCCTCGTTCAACGGTGGCTCATCCTTTATGAATAAAATTAAACCTCAGCTCCTGGGGAGCTGTCATGCCACAGGTTACGGGTTTCCACTGCGGACCTGTTGCAACACTGCACAAGTTCAGAGTTGTAATGAGTTTCCTAACCTGCGCTGGTTCGTGTCAGCCTGCACGACAGCGTGCTGAGCATGCCACGGGAGATAGGAAATGGAACATCCTTAAAAAAAAATCTAAGCAAACTTCCCTTTCTCTCAATTACCAGTTTTGAAAAGCAGCCTGAACACGGGCGCTCTTCTGTCTGGGGGTTCCTGAACCGCTGGCATTAATTCTTCAGGGAAAACTTCCCGTCTTCACGCATGACTGTTTGTGTGTATTTTTTTTTCTTACTTTACCCCAGATCTTTAAAACTGCACAACAGCTAAGAAGTCAGGATGTCTCCCCCGCAACGCTTCATGGAAACAGACTGCTTTATTATTGAGTGAAAGCGAAAATAATAATCGTGAAAGCGTTTGCTTCTGGACTGCATAAATTATCTCCAATTTTGCTCATTATTTTCTTCTGCAGGGTATGAAAGAGATTGCCGGCAGTAAAGCACGTATCAGCACAAAACAAACAGAAAGCGGTTTTAAACCACTGAAGTATTTACCTTTCTTATTGAAAAAAAAGACATTTTAATCCCATTAACGGTAAATTATATTACCTATTGTGAAAGCAGACATGAAAGAAACAGTTGAAGCATGCGGTTAATTATGATAGCAAGTGACACGGGCCGTTTCTGCGCCCCTCGCATGGCCCGAACAGCTCCCCCTTCACTAGCAGTGAGGCGCACGCCGACTGAAGTGGCGGAGGGCCCGAAGGCACGTCGCTGCGGACGCTTTATGCTGCAGATAATTAATGGTACGAGAAATAGCCATTACTTATTCCTTTAGACTCCTAATTTCACGTAGAGGGGGAAAGAAATTCTCTGCCCTAACCCTTTTATTTTAATTCTCCATTTCAGCATATTTAGTAACTGTCCGCACTGGCACAGCCAAGCAGGGAGTTTGCGAACGAATTTCCATCTAGACCAGCTGTGCCTCCGCGAGGTTGGTGGCTTTCCGAAACTCCCAAGACATACAGGAAAGCACCAGGCCGGTCGGTTTGAGGGAAGTGACTCACCCATCGAAATAAGGCAGGTGTTTTAGACATTAGGATACAGTTCTACCCAAACTGGCGCAAAATATACAATACTGGTTAAAATTAGTAAGCCATATTTCTGGTTGATGACTACACCGTGACATAGCCAAGTGATGGCAGAGAAATGAGTTCCGCACGGCCTAGCTTTCCCATCACGATCCCCCGCGCGGACCAACTCCGGGGGGACGGTGCTGGGAGGCCACCACCCCCGGCCCAGCATGTAGGACCCACCCGCTCTAAGATCAAGAGTTTTTATTCCACTATTATTTCTCACTAAATTTCCATTAGATTAAGACCAATTTTTATGTCCTCACATAAATCATGTCACACATATCTGTAATTTGAATAGATCAACAAGTTTCTGCCCTATGGCATAGGGAGCTCTATTCAACGTCTTGTAGTGACTATAATGAACACGAACATGGAAATGGACACATACGTGTACATGTATGACTGAAGCATGATGCTGTCCGCCAGAAATGGACACAACATTATAAACTGGCTCTACTTCAATAACTAACTAAATAAAACCAAGTATCTGTAATTTGAAAAAACAAGAGCCAGCAAGCTTATTGGACAACTATGTACAGGGCTTTGTATATATTCTCACGTCTCCTCACAATAAACATGCAGGGTTCACACTAATTCCCACTTTCGTCAAGGCGGAGACTGAGGCTCAGAGAAGCCAAGTAACTCGCTAAAAGCCAAAAGCTAGTAAGTTGAAGCACCGCAAGCAAATGTAAGCAGGAGTTCGGTCTTTACCATCCTCTAGTTCTCATTTATGTTTCGATAGTTTGGGACTACCAAATTATTACACAAATGTTATCAAGTGAATGAAAGCACTTCAATTTGTACTGAATGTCCATTATGTGTTAGAGAAATAATTCTACCAGACTTCACCTAGCTCCAAAATCTTCACAACATTTCATCCAATTTTCCAATTACAATCAGACACAATATATTTTTTTAGCTCTGGTACAATTTACATTTTCAGAAATGCACAGATCTGACACCAACAGTTTGATAAGCTTTGACAAAGGCACACATCTGTGTAACCCAAGGCTCTATCAAGATTAAAAAAAAATCTCCATCACACCAGAACCTTCTGCGATTCCCTGTCAATCCCTGCCCATCCACGCAGGCAGCCACTGTTCTGAGTTCTTGTCGGATCATTTTGCCTACTCTTAACTCCACGCAGAATCACGTTCTCTGCCGCTTCCATAACCAACGGCCGCAACTGTGGCTAATTTTACCCGTCCTCACGTGTGTGCCTTCAGTTCTATGCAATTTTATCACAGGTGTAGGTCCCTGTTTCCACCTCCCTCCCACGCCTTCCCCATTATCAAACCCCTAGCACCACTGATCTGCTACTCACTTCTAAAACTGTGTCTTTTAAAATGTTATGTAGATGGAATCATGCAGCATGGAACCTTCTGAATTTGCTTGTTTGTTTTTTTCCACTGAGCATAGTCACCCGAACATCATCCAGGTTCTTGTGTGTATCAGTGGCTTTCATTTTACTGAGGCGTTAAGAGTGCCCGGGATGCACGGTCCCCCTTCCGTCGACCTGTTTGGGGCTACTGTAGAAAGGGGCTCATGAATATCTTCGCGCAGGTCTGAGGGCCGCATCTTTTCATTTCTCTGAGAGAACCGCTGAGATTTTCCCCTCTTGATTTGCGTGATAAAAACAGAAGCGCAGGACCGTCCTGGAGCGGCCGCGGGGCTCGCACCCCCAGGGCTGCCGGCGGAGCCGCGTCCCCCCGCCCTTGGCGTCCCCACTGCTTGTCACGGGTGCGCAGCGACCGCCCTGCGCGCCGTTGGCTCGCACTTACCCGGCGCCGCGCGATGCCGGCCACCGTGCAACGTGCACATCCGCCATTTGCACATCCTCTGCAGGGGAGGGGCTGGTCACGCCTTTCGTCCATTGTCTAATTGGGCCGTTGGCGTTCTTAAGTTGAGTTTTGAGAGTCTTTTTTAAATAAATTCTAGCTGCTAGTCCTCTGTCGATTTGAGGTTTACGAATATTTTCTAACAGCCTGTAGCTTTTTTCATCTTCTTCACATGAGCTTTTGAAGAGCAAACTTTTTAATTTTGATGCGGTCCAATTAATCAATTTTTCTTTCTAGTGTCAAGTCTAGGAGCTCTTTGCCTACACCTAGATTCCAAAGAATGTCTCTTATTTTTTTCTGAACGTTTTATAATTTTATGTATTACAGCTAAGTCTATAATCCATTTTGAGTTAATTTCTGTATAAGGTATGAGACTCAAGTTGAGGTCTTTAAAAAAAAATTGTCCTGTGGTTCTCCAGTTGCTCAAGTAATATTTTTGAAAAAAATCTGTCATTCTGCCACTAAATTGCTTTTTTACCTTTGTCAAAACTAAGCTGAACACATGTCTGAGGTTTTATTTCTGGGCCATTTTTTTCCATGCATTTATTTGTCTGTCGCTCCACCAACACCACGTGCTCTTGATTACTGTAACTGTGCCGCAAGCCTTGGTACCAGCCAGCTATTGCTCTCGCTTTATTCTTCTTTGTCAATATTATTGTTGCTATTCTACACCCTGTGCCTTTTCATATAAATTTTAGAATAATTTTGTCTGTGTCTTCAGAAATCTTCCTGAGATTTCAATAGGAATTGCGCTAAACCCCTGGATCAGACTGGGGAGAAGTGGCATCTCACGATGTTGCATCTGCTAATCCGCCAACATGGTCCGAGTCTCTGCTTATTCAGATCTTTGATTTCTTTCATTGGCATTTTTTAATATGCAGAATGTAGACTCTAGGTGTGACTGGTCGAGCGGATTTCATTTTCTTAGTGGCAGTTATAATTGGTATGATGTTTTACATTTAGGTTTGCACACATTCATTGTTAGTGTATAGGAATGCATTTTCTTCTTATGTCCTACAAAACTGCTGAACTCACTCATTGTAGAAGTTAATGTGTATGCATAAATTCCTTGAGATTTTCTACATAGACAATCATTTTATCTCCAAACAGAGACATTTTAATTTCTTCTGTACCAATCTGTACACCTTTTGTTTCTCTTTCTTGCCTTATCACAGTGGTGAGTGTTGCCAGTGCTAGGGAGAATGAGAGTGGTGAGCGCAAACAGCATCCTCGCCTTGTTTCCGATCTCGGGGGAAAGCCTGAAGTCGCCATTAAGTGTTATGTGAGCTGCAGGTGTTTTATAGATGGAGTTCCTTCTATTCCGAACTAGCTGAGTGTATCTTTTAAATCATGAATGGCATTAAATTTTGTCAAATATTCTTTTCACATAAATTGACAGTTGAAGATACATGATTTTTCTTCCTTAATTTGTTAGTATAGTGGCATACCTTGACAGATTTTTAACAGCTAAACCATCCTTGAATAACACTCCATATCCACTCCACTAATCTCTGACTTTTGATTCCTGTGGTGAATCCATATACATTCAGATAATTATTAATATGTTACAACTTAACTTTGTCATTTTATCATTTGCTTTCTATTTGTTTCCTCTGGTTCTGGTTGCTCCCTTTCTCTTTTCTTGACTCCCCATAAGTTATACATTGTTTAGAAACCTATTTTGATTTATTTATAGTGTTTTTTAAACTTCCCTCTTTGTATAGTTTTTGTAGCAATTGCTCTGGTCATTAAAATATACCTATGTGACGCATTACAGTCTATTGGTATCAACATTTTACACCGTAAGTATGGAAGGCTCACCTCCAAGAGCCCTTTAACCTTCTACACTTTAAAATATCATTCTGTTGAGTAACAGATGGTCTTAAAATTTTTGTTTCAACCGTGAAATGAGGTTTTTAAAACTCTGAGGAAAAGGATAATATGCAGTGTGCCCATCTTTCTGCTGTTCATTTTTCTTTCCACATGATCCAAGGACTTCTTTTTTATTTCCTTTTTGTTTGGAGAACTTCCTTTCACCCATATTTAAAGGTAGCCCTGCTAGCAACAAATTATTTTGGTTTTTCTATTATTTGAGAATGTGTTTATTTCCCCCTTATTCCTAAAACGGAAAGAATTCATCATCAGTCCAACTGCATACAATAATGTTAAAATGAGTCCTTCAAGCAGAAGGAAAATGTTTTCTGGTGGAAATCTGGATACATCCCAGGGCTGCTCCCCTGTGGCACTACTGGTATCTGGGCTAGAGAAGTTTGTTGTGGGGGGTTCCTGTGCAGCACGGCTGCTTTGCAGCATCCTGTGCCTTGAGCCTCTGCCTCCACCCACTGCTGCCAGGGCTACCCGCCCTTCCCCAGATGGGACCACAAGGTCTCACGCAGCGCCAGGCATCCCCCGGAGGGGGCAACATTTTTCTGGTTGAGAGTCACTCATCAATACAAAAAAATGAAGACTGCTGGAAATGATAACTATGTGGGTAAGAATAAAAGACAGTTTTCTTACTATTTAAATCTCTTTAAAAGATAATTGTTTAATGCAAAAATAATAATGCAATCAGGGATTTATAACATGTGTAGAAATAATATGTGACAGCAATAGCACACATCTGGGAGGAAAGAAATAAAACCATACTTTTAAAGGTCCGTGGAGGAGGAAACGAAGCCTGTCCTTGCAGACCTTACAGTCTGTAATGATCATATGCTGTGGTTTTATTTTTGTTTTGCTCACTGCTTCGAGACTGTTACTTTTTGGGGGGACAGCTTGGGGGGGGCAGGGGGTGACAATAACACAGTACATGGTCCGCAGTAAAAACAATTTTAAAAGTCCTCAAGTGTATCCTTAAAAGGCCACAATTACAACCACCCTCTGCGAAGTACCTTCGGCGTCTGCCTTGTTTGGCTGCTTGGCCCAAACCAATAGCTCAGACTCACCCCTGGGAAACACCTCTCCCCAGTGAACACAGCAGGGACCTACCTCAAAACCTGCTCCGATCACCGGCACAAGCTGTGGAGCCAGAAAATCTGGATTCTACCGTGAACTTGGAGGAGTTACTTCAGACCTCTGGGCTTCAGTTTCCACGTCTGTAAAAGGTCACTGCACCGGTGACTGGGAGGGCCCCGCAGATGACGTGGCCACGGAGAGAAAGCGCCAGCAGCCCGGCCAGCCCCACGCCCTCCCCGTGCGAGCTCGCTCAGCGCCTGTGCCTGAGGAACTGTCCCCAGCTACGCCGGCTGCGACGGAAAACGCCAGCGCAAGTTCTTCAGTATTTGTGAAATGTGAGCACGTACGGACTGTGCTGAGTTGGTACGTGAGTATGTGATGCTGCATATAACGGTGACGCAGAGTTACAAGGACACCAGGCTGTGATTTTTTTGAGGCTGTTTGTCTTGGGGATGTTTTCACTCCTGGGACTCAGCAGCAGTTAGCAGATATTTAAAAAAAGGTATTACTATAATATTCAAAACCTGATCACAACCTTCTGATGTCTAGTTGTCAATCAGAGAACAAGTAACTCCAAGGACTTTTTCAATACCCACAATTTGCAGACTGCTGGCAGCCCTACGGAGACTAGTAGATAATATTTAGGAAGACTTAAGAGGCTGCTGCCCTAAACCCTTTTAGAGCAGAGCTAGGGTTCAATACAGGGCCCTTGGACTGGCAACATACACCATCTGCCCCCACCCATCACCCCCTGTTGCTCAGAACATGAATTATTCAAAATCTTTCTCCTCTTTACCAATAATTTTGTCTATTATTTGCTTTTCTCAGCTTGGCAGAAGCAATCTGGTTTTGAGGTGGGGTTCTTTTTTGCTATTTCCTACCAATATTGTTTTGTCACATTTAGGTGAAGCAGTAATATTCCTGTGTCCAGTGCTACCCGGGAATATTCAACCTCAGAACAATTTCCACTAAATTTTTAAAAATTTGTTTCCTCTAAATCTCTGCCCTCTAAATACATATTCACATTGATTACAATCCAGGATCTTTTGCATTTGGCAGGAACTCACACCTACATTTTTGAATGATGAATAAATGATATAATCCTATTTATTGACCAAAGCCTAAAATAAAGACAAAATTAACTGGAAGTATCTCTTTTACACCATGAAAATTATCTAAGTGTCTCTTTCACACCATGAATGAAAGCATGAACATTTGACTTCTTTTGTGACATTTTCCAGTCTAAATAGCATGGATCCATTGATTAGAAGAAACAAAATTCTTTCAACTTTATTGACGCCTTTTTTTTTTCTTTCTTTCACCCATATTCAAATTATGCAGTGCAATATACCTAAAAGAGTGATTGTTAAATAAGTTAAGAATGGGGGCCACCTGAGAGATTTAGGGGTCATTAAAATCACTTTTAGTAAGATACCAGAAGGCTGTTCTTGTCAAAAGAAGTCAACACCGTTCTCCGCTCCCTTTACACATGTGAAGCCATCACTGTGTCTGATCTGAATACACGCCTGTGTAGGGGGAGTCGGACAGAACTCTCCTTTGGGCCCTCTGCTGAATTCCTTAGGCTGATCGTTCCGGTGGCCCTGCCTGTTCCTAAATGCCCGTGTTGAAACCGGCGCCCACGCGGAGGGCCACGTAGGTTGTCTGCGTCTGTGTGCACCCCGCCCTGTGGGTTTCTCCCGTTTGCCGCACGAAACCTAACGGATGTGTCGGTGGGAGATGAGGAGCTGGCCCATGGCCGGCAGCTCCAGATTGCTGCCTGGAATCCGCTCTTTGATGTAGGTGTTCTTAATGGCTGCTTCATCGGCAAACTCAGACGTCGCGCTGGACGCCAGGGTCCCTGGGGGAGTCCCACGGCGGCAGTAAAGCTGCACCTGGCGCCCTCCCGCCTGCGCGGCACCCTGTCCCCTGCCAGCTTTGGGTTGTTGGGCTTGGGCGGGGGTTCTGATCTGATTTTTAGTGTGCTTTTCAAACCCCAATCTAGCAAGTCTATTTTGGGTTTGTTTTTCCCTTGAACCTTCCCTAGGCTCTCAAGTCCAAGGGTCCTCGCCCTTGCCCTCACCAAGTTCCTCTGCAGGTCGTCCTCCAGGCAGGGCGCCTACCATCCTCCCGACTTCAACACGAGCTCCGACACACTGGGAAGCAGGCAAGGAGTTTGGGCATGAGGCACAGCTGCTCTGTTATCTGCAGGGACTCACACTTCACCTGCTCCAAGCCCTCTGTTGTCACCGGCTTAAGAGGCCGGCCGGCTAGAATGCCTGCACAAACTCCTGTCTGCTCACCAGCACCGCGGCCTCCAGCCAGCAGCAAACCCGTGGGTTCTCGTGGGAGGTCCCACGGATTCCTAGGGTTTGACTCTTCCAGCGGCTTAGAAAACTCTTTCACCTTCTCTTTAGGTTTTAGAATTGAAAAAAAACCAAAGCTCACTTCAACAATACAAGAGAAGAATGTGAGTCACACCTAGAACTTTAAATAGATATGGTGTCATTTACAAATCACTTAATGACCTGCCAGGCTCTGAACCAGGCTGATGCAGGTGACATCTTCCTCCACAAACTGGTCAACTAGTCGCCGTTAAATTCGCAGACTCCTGCTTAATTGTTTTTCTTTGTTAAAAGCATGAGCACCTTTTTGTTTGTTTGTTTGAAATCTAAAGCAGGACATCAGATGGGTCTAACTGGGTGCCTGACGTCTGTGTCACGTGAAAGGGCGTTCTCCCACACGGCAAAACCTTTGCGGTGTTCAGCGTTTGATTCTCCCGGGCCTGACTTGAGTGCCGACACTCTGACATGTTTCATGAGGTCTTAAAAACCTATTTTTTGGTCTGAAATGTAGAGAGGAAATGTGTTCTGTGTCTCTCCTCCTCCTCCTCTGTTCACACCTGTTGCTGTGCTCATTTCCTTAATTTGGTTCTATTGCTTTTGCCCTGGTTTTTTTATGCTGGTGGATGTTGAGTGACAACTACAGTGTGTTGGCCGTGGGGTCCAAATCTCTCGGCGCCTGTAACCGTCCTCAGCAAACGGGCGATTTCCTCCCCTGGGCCTGAGGCGTATGGACCGTGCCTTTCAACAGCTCATTCCACCAGACGGAATTCCCAGGTTCTGCGTCAGGAAGTGTCTGCTCCACCCGTTACTGATGGCAGGTCAGAGAAACCAGAGTCACAGCCGTTTTCCCCGCTTTGTGTCTGAGCTGCAGGGCAAACTTGGGGATTTGCGACAAATTCCTTAAAACGGCAGTCTTGAAATCGTGATGAAGGACGCTTGCCGCACACACGCTCAACCTCATTTACTGGTGATGGCCAGGATGGAGGGGTTCTGCCCTCAGGCTGGGCAGGTACTCGCTCAAGTACCTGGGATGAGCGAGTCTCATTTCTTCCCATTCTGCAGCTGAGGACACTGAGGCAGAAGAGGCTAACCAACCCAGAGGCTGGTGCAAAAGGCTACGCTCTGAAAGTCCTCATCGGTAGGGATTGTACAAAATACATGTTCCTCCAGTTCCCTCCTAAAGGCTGAAAATTTGGCAGCATTCTGTTACAGCATCTCTCTAATCACCTTGAGGCAACCATAACTCACGACAGCTTGACTGTGGGCCGAGTTACGGCTCACTTCGGGAACACGGAAAACTGACCGCATCTTCCCTTCCTCGACTCTACTTTGTTTTCACCCATTTAGGCGGACTGCGTAATTAGAGAGTACATGTAGTTCCTTCGAAGACGCAATTCATTGGCAATTCTGATCCAGTTTAGAATATATACCAAATTAAGAGTGGATTCAGAGTTGAACATTCTGCTACATAAATTAATATTGGGGAAACAGGTATCATTTTAATAGTCAAAGACTGTAAATAGTTGTTTTGGGGTTGTTTTTTTTTAATCTACATCCACGTCCACAATAACCTCTGTTAATCTGAGGTCAATAAAGTTGACCGCTTTCCTGGGTCTTTGTGAAGAACAGTCAATAAACATGTTTTATGTAGAATTCTTAATATAGTTTTAGCCCTTTGCACAACAGCTCCTAATTTTTAAGCTGCTAATAATGTTCCAAAAATAAACCTTCCATCAGTTCAAGCTAGCACCTTTGTCTGAGAAAAAAAAATAATAAATGCATCGCCTGCACGCAGTTAAAAAATCAAAACTACTGCAGGCTCAGGAAGCATCTCTATAGGGAGTCCTTGCAAATGGTGACATAAGTCCCCATGCAAATCCACTTCTGTCAGCAATGTCACAGATGCCAAAAAAAGCAGGCACAATAAATATGGAGTATATAGATATAAAATAGCAATGATGTCACGCTGGAGGATTTATACACCCCTCCATTCCTTGCTTAGAATGTGGACAATACAAAAGCCTTTGAACAATTCTATCTTCTTACAGGGTCATGGGACATCACAAAAGCAAGTATTTTTTGTTTGTGCTGGCGATGGGTAAAAAGAAAAACAAAGTCTTTTTCAAAACAGCAGCCACAGTTTGTGTTATCTGTAACACGGTATTCAAAGACTGAGTTGTTCAAAGGAGAAAAGTGGTTATCAGAGTTGCCATCTGGCAGACTCCTCGTCGAAGTCACCCCGGAATCCTGTGTGTGTGTTTGTACGTGACGTTGCCTGGCATCTGGGGCATCGTCCTCTGGACTCTGCCTCTGGGCTTGGACCCAAGGATGTGGCAGTGGCCTTCCTGAGCCTTGGGGCATCCGCCTCTCCATCTCTGGGGCTGCAACATCACCGGTACCTGCATCCTTCTTCCCACCACCCACACCCCAGCCTCAGCAAGTGCTCCCTCCCTAAGCCTCCACCCAGCAACCTGCCGTCCTTGGCAGAGTCTCTGTGCCACGCTGCCTTGGCCGTCCATCCAGTGGGCGTGCTGACCGCCCTCAGACCCCTCCCTTTGTGGAGACGCATCTCGCGGTCTTGTCTCCAGGGCAGGGAGTGAAAGGAACGCTGGCCTGCACAGCCGACCCGGGCCCTCGTGAACATCCATTGAAACTGACTGATCTAATGCCTCGCATCTGCCAAGCTGTCATTCAAGCCAGGGGGGATTTGGACGGAGACAAGGCAAGCATTGTAAAAATGACTTTGTGAGCTAGTTTATGGGGCTCGCCTTGAACTCCTAGGTACAAGGAGGGCAGAAAACCTCGTTTTCTGCAAAA